AGACCAGCAGTTTTTTAAAAAAAGATTTTAAAGGCAGAAGTGTTCCTGGCAATGTTCAGATGGAAAAATAGCAACAGATCCCAACAGCAGAACGGTAGCCAGGAATAACTCAAATTCAAGACATTTTCAGTAAGGGTAGGATAAGAACAGTAAGCAGTCTTTGGAGAGCTACCCTGGTCCTCTGGGCCTGAAGCCTAAACCACGACTTGTCCACCATCAGTCAGTTCACAGACATTTTCCAAACACTGTCACACACGTCCAGCACACTGCCCGTCACTGAGCAGCATTCTGTGAGGTGATAGTGGTCAGTGAGGTGTAAACTCCACTATACCACGATCAATTGGGAAAGCTTTTTCCCTACTTCACACATAGGAACAGTAAGGATTCTGTGAGGTCGTGGGCCTGGATCACAGCACTGCCTATGCCAAAGCCCCTAATACCACTCATTGTGCATAAAATATGGCTCATTCCCTACAGAAGCTTAAAATAGCTTGAGCCAATAAAAATCGATGTTGGCAATATATATAGTGACCAGCTAACAAGTATCTCAAGACTTTAACGAAAGAGAGGAAAATGAATAGAGAACACCTTATAAAAGAGGTAGGACTTGGGTTCTTCCACCACGGATGGGTGTGTGAGAGCAGTGACACTTCAGCGGAGGGAGCCTGGTCCTCATGGGGACAGAAAGAGCCACACCGTGTGGAACAAGGACTGAGGAAGGGCCAGGTGCACTACGAAAAGCTTGAGACCTGTGTGAGACACTCAAGATCATGACAACAGACAGCTGCTGAAGGCTCCGGGCAGGAGGGCATGCTCAGCTGGGCCAGAGCGCTGAAGGGGCCAGAGAGGGAAGCTTCCCGTTAGCTCGTGTTCATTAGTCCCCGGGCACACATTCAGCTGGGCCAGGTGAAAGGCTCGAGTGCGCACACAAGGGAGGCGCTCGATGAACAGGTGGCAGAGGTCTGGTTGACTCACTGACATCACAGGAACCATTAGGGAGGAGATGAGCAGGGTAACCCAGAGCTACCATAAGGTCCACCTTTCCTAGGAACTTTCAAAGCAATCAAAACCAAAACAAACAGAAAAGGCCTCTGAGATGCTGGACAGTCAGTAGGTAAAACTCTGGTACCTCATTTACACATAGCCCATAGGTGAGAAACACCAGTGAGAAAAACCATTTCAAGTGCAGAAACCCTTGGCAAGGACAGCAGAGGTCTGCCTGCCTGTGGGCTCTGTCTCTCCTCCAACCCTTGCCCTGTGCCAGCCAGGCTGGGCTCCTGAAGACACACACACACAGCCCCCTCCCACCAATCAGCCTGACCCCGGAAAGGACTGAGGCAAAGCAGAAGGCAGAAACAAAATGCGCAGGGCTGCTGCAAGGCTGTGATTTGAAATAAAAACTCCAGCGCCACGCTCTCCTTTCTACACCCGCTGCCTAAGGTTTTGCAATTTTTGGTCCTCAGTAGACAGGAAGGCCTTAGAGTCTTTCCCAAAGTGTTGCTCTTTGTTCAGAAACTATTTCAAACGTGCATATATTAATTCATAGCACAGTTAAGCATATAACTGAGGCATAAACTCTCAATAATTTATATGTGGACTACATGAATTTTAAGCTCGATTTAAATCTTCTATTCAGCTATGGCTCCATTCACTATAGAGGGCTAGCCCGAACTCACTGTGAAACGAAGACCACAACCATCAAATCAAACTTCTATGACTATAAACCAAACTCCAGGCCAGGAAAACAAAGTGTCAATACCTTAGAAAAACAGTCCCGCTTGCAAAATTCAGGGTGGAATGACCTCAGCCCAGCGCAGCGTTAGGGGAGTACTCTTGAGTTTTCACTGGAGGTGGATTCTCTTCTCCGCAGGAAGATTCAGCGAACTACCTTCTTTAGAAGGTCTTAGTGTCAAAGTCAAACTTGCAAAGGTTCACGCTGCAAAAGAAACAGTTGCTCTGGAAATCTTTCAACATCTTTCCCAAAACATGCACTCAAATCAGTAATACAGAGCAGAAAGAAACCCCGAGGAGAAGAGAAAGCCTGTGAAACACGGCTGCCGAGCGCAGGCAGGAGGGCTCCGGCTGGGAGCCCCGCGGGACAGCGAAGGGCCTACTGGGGATCGCAGGCCGGACCTGCCCCGCTCGGGGACCCGCAGCGCACAGGGGACCGCCACCAGCCTGCGGTCGGCGCCCTCCCCAACCCCCGCGCGCCAGACCCCGCCGAGGCCAGCGGCCGGGCTCCCCCGCCCCGAGCCCACTCACCGGCGGCGCAGAGCACCTGGGTCCCGCCCCTGCGGCGCGCGGCTCGTGGCTCCGGGGCGCGGCCGGCGCCGCGGCGGGAAGCGGCAATCCCGGCTAGGACGGGCCGCGGGCCCCTGGCGGAGACGCCCGGCAGCTCCGGCGCGGGGCCCGGGCGGCGCGGCGCATGGCGCAGCGGCAGGAAGCCGGCCGCACTCCGGCCTCGGCAGCAAAACAAACAAAAGGCAGGGCGGCTTCCACGGCGGGCGCCCCGCCGCCTTCCCCGGAAAGTTGCCCTGCAGCTCCCCTCGCCGGCCCTGCGCGTCCCTGCAGCGCGCCCGGCTCGGCAGCCCCGGCCCGGCCGGCCGCCGCCCCCAAGGCCGGGAGGCGGGGAAGCGCGCGCGGGCGGAGCGAGCGCCAGGCCTCGGGAGCGTCCCCGGGAGCGCGCGCAGGGGTGCTCGCGGTGTCACCGGCGGGCTTGTGCAGGCAGCTGGGTCTCAAGCGGCACACGTCACCTGCGTTTTACAATAGAAAACGTGTTTAAAATAAATCCACGACCTGTATGTGTACGTTTGAACACTGCAGGGGTTCACACGGCCAGTAACCGAGGTTGAAAGGCTGCACGCTTCCCACGGTGGGAACCTGGTAGACAACCTCCACAGGCGTCCTTTCCGCGTAACTGGTGACATGTATCTGACACCGCACGTCTACGTTTAGAGCACATTGACTTTTATCATAACTTATATTGTAGATGTGGCCTTAAACCATGATCAGGCTTGAATGTTAAGCACTTTGGGAGAAAAATCCAAATTTGCTTCCTGGTCCCTGTTTGAAATTTACAGGACTCTTGTGAGCCACTGGGTCAATTGCAGGACACCGGTCACCTGGAGGGTTATTTAAACCCGTGGTCTGCTGCACACTGCAGTTCCAGTGCTGATTCCGCTGGTGAGGGGGGGGTCACACTTGCCCTCAATACACAATTTTAATTCAAAAATCAGTAACCCTTTAACTCTTTGAAGAGCTGTCGCTGGTTTAAATTACCCAGCTCACCACCACAGCAAGTTTTTAAACGTTTTGTTTCTGAATCCAAAGACAGTTGAAGTATTCGGGATTTTTGTTTTGTTTTGTTTTGTTTTTTCCAGAATCATATCAAAGACTGGAATTTTTCTCTTGCTCCTTTTCTTTCTCGAATGGAAAATGGCACCCTGACTACTTGGCAAATACATGATATTTGCCTACCTTTGTGTTTACCTATGTAACAGCTGTAAAATAAAAACCGCAGGTAATAAGCTAATAATAAGATAACAAGGAGCCTAGCAAATTATGAGTTTTTAAAGTAACTAAAATAATCAGTGTCACTAAAATTCAGTTGTCCAAACCAGTATACCAAGCAAGTGGAGGGAGTGTCTTAGTATACATTTAGTAAGGATCCACTGGGTTAGTAAGTAGATCAGTAATTTTGGTCTGGGAAAATGAAAAGACTGCAAATATAATATAATATAATATAATATCTAATATATCCCTGTAATGAGTGCTACTGGATTCAGTGGAGCTGACTTAAAATAGAAAATTAGTGGCTGTGGAGCATGCCATGTTTTAGTATTTGGTCTTATCAAATATTACTTTATTAATCTTGTTTTTAATTACTTGCTAGAATAGAAATCTTCTGACCTAATTGACCAGGATACCCCAAGCAAGCATTCAATATTTTCGATGCAATTTCTGGAGCAACTTAAACCTCATTCTTTTTCTGCAAAAGTGATCTTTAGAATTCCTTCATTTTCTTTTGTTATAAACCCATAGTTAACTCTTCTTCCATTTAAATTTCAAAATCCAATTTTAAAAGAATCATTGGGAGGAAATTTCCCTTAAAGAACCTAAATCCTCTTTTAGAATCTAAAAATTATTAAATTGTTGACTTCTGTTAAAGATGGAAGATTTTTATGGTAGTTAATTTAGGATGCAAATAAAAACTCACCTGAAGGATGTATCTTACAATGTGTAATTTGGATTTCCTTACAGTAGAGCGTTCCTCACCTCACCCCTATCCTCCTTGCAGCTCTATGACGATACACTGAAAGCTCTAGAATAAAATAACGCATAAGAAATTTAAATTCTAATGTATGTGGGGTCTTGGAATCTTGATGACTATTAGTCCCTGGCACTCAGAGAAACTCCAGACATTCGATAAATGCTTGCTCAATGAAAGTAAGAAGTTGTGATGCCTGTATGCTTTCACAGAATATGCAAAAACGTGGTTTAAAGATTAAAAGTGTGGAGAAGTCAGAGTACCTTCACTTGACGGGACTTCAGATGTTTGGTCTTTAAAAGGCGGGTCAAGGCCCTCGCTTACGTTCCGGCGCTCTACGTGGACCATCGGACTACAAATCCCACCGTGCCTCGCAAAACCTTCTCCCAAGAATCCGGCTCCAGAGCCCTCGACGCGCACGGACATTGCATTGCATCATGGGACCTGTAGTTAAGCGTTCCATGCGTCGCCTGTTTTCATTCCCCGCAGCTGCGCACGTAAGCGCATCTTTCCTCGATTTCGGGCCTGTGCTCCTAGATTTAACCTTTACAACCACCTGTGACAGTGGTCGCATTTTGCTGGACGCGGCACTTATGCGTCCCCAAATCCGTGTAGCGACCGTGCTGTTCTAGGGTCCTCAGGAGGCTTGGCTCAAGGCCCTGCTCTCAGCTCAGTTGAGACATCGCTGAGGTACCGCCTGCTCCTGTCTGCCTCGGGGCGCATTAGAGCGGACATGGGGTCGGGGGCGAGGTCCGGCGGACCGCTAGCCCCGTCCGTCGCGGGCTGCGCGCCTGGGACGCCGCGGCGGCACCGCGCATGCTCCGTGCGTGGCCGGCGCAGTCCCGCAGTGCGCAGCTCCGCCGCCGCGTCCCGTCTCCGGCAGGGCCGCGCTCCGGCTGCCTCCGCTCGGCCTCCGCAGCTCTCGGCGCCCTCCGCAGCTCTCGGCGCCCTCCGCAGTCCCCGGCCCCGGCCGCCGCTCCAGCGCGCCCGTGTCGGCCCCCTGCCCCGCGAAGATGGCTGCTGTCCGCCGGGCCCGCAGTTACTGCCGCTGCTTGGTGCGCTTCTCCGACCGAGAACTCTGTTAAGCCCTGCTGCGGGAGACGGGCAGGAGTAGACACTGGACAGCGCACCCTCCCGGAGGAGCGGTGCAGAGGGCGCAGGGAGCCCGCAACCCGGCCGGCCGGCCCGCCAGCATGGTGAGCTGGGGATGGGAAGGGGCCTGCGGGACGGGATGCGGGGAGCGGGCCTGGCTTGCAGGCCTGGAGAAGCGGGAAGCACCGCGAGCACCGGGCCCTGGGCAGAGAGGGAGCAGAGGGTCCTGGCCTTGACTGCGCCCGACGCTCCGTTCCTGCTGAACCCCAGCCAGGTCCGATACAGGGAGACGGGGTTTGCAGGACAGCCGAAAAATGTCCCGTCTCTGCTTTCTAAGGGCGCCGGGCCGGCCTCGAGGGCATTTTTCAAACCCTGCGAGCCTGATTTCGGTGAGCCTGTCCAGCCCGTGTTCTGGAGAGGGAATCCTGGTCAGGGGAGACACTTGTTGATTGCTGCTCCGTCAAGTGAGGTCCTGCAGAAGTCCTGGCTTAGACGCATCTGCGTTGATTGGCTGGCGATTCTGGTGGAACCGGGCCGGAGGGAACCAGTATCACTTTATGGTAGTGACAGCGTGAGCCCCGTCTCAGCTGTGCAAATGGAGAGACTTAGCTCAGCTTCAGTCTGACGGAACACACTCGCTGAGACCGTAGTGTGATGTGTGTGGTCTTCACCGTGTACTGCGTCTGCTACCCGATAAATTGTCTAGCTAAGAAATTGCTAATGAAGTTAGAATGAGCTGATACAAACGAATTAATTATCTCATAAAATTCCCAGATACTTATGGAATAAGTGAATGGCTGAATGAATTTGCTTCCTGTAGCTTATCTGGACGGTATTTTTTTAAAAAGCACCAATGCTTCTGCTTCTAACTTTCAGAAGTAGTTTTCTGACCAGCATTAGGCACTCAACTTTTATACTGAATTAGTTCGTACTGAGAAACAGTAGTAAAATGGGGCTATAAGCCACCCCAAAACAGGCACTACACAAGTGAAAGGTAATATTTAGGTGGTACTCAGAGGGAAAAAAAAAATGAAGCCCTCTGAGTGGCAACTGACAGCTTATCTTTGTTGCCAGTGGTATTTAGGTTGGCCAAATGTAATAAAGCTCACATTTCTGTGATTTTCTGTGATTACATTGGCTAAAACCAAGATGGGTTTGACAACTATTCTAATACAAATTGCTCAGGACACATGGACTGTGTTGTCTTGTTACAGATTTTTTATTTCCTCATCTTCAACTTAACACAGTACATGTCACATGATGTATTTGCTAATTTCAATTTTTTGTACACCTATTTTCCACCTGAATAGTGTGAACCATGCCTGTAATGTGATTTATGATACACTTATTTGTGAAATAGCCCATCAGAAAAGGGACCTGAAAATTCACAGAATCTCTTCATAGAATCCTCTTTTTAGAGGAGATATCTGAGGCTTAGGCAGGCCTTTATTACGAATCAAACAACATGTTTGATTACAAAGACCACCGAGATGTATTCCTGCCCTCAGTGCATTAACTGTAATGCTCAGTGCATTAACTTTAATGAAAGAAATGAAAGCTTCAATTATAAGTGTTAGAAGCACACAGAAGAGACTGGACTGGAAGATGCTTTTGACTGCAATGAACTTAGAGCTGAATGTTGAAGAATAAGTGGAAGCTAAGTGAGGAAGGTTACATTTCAGGTGGGGACAACAAGCAGCAAGATACAGGAGCTCAACTGGGGAGAGGAGGGAAACTCTTTTGATACAGTTGGTTTAGTCACACTGGTAGGCAAAAAGAAGCTTAAATGACAAAGAGGATACTCCCCAGGACTCGGGTCCTCTCCAACTGACCGTGCTTAGGATTTATAGTAGGAAATCATACATTTATTTGGAAGGAGAAAGAACTATAACTTCTCACTAGAATCTATACATTCAGTCCCATGTATTTTGGTTGTAGTCATATTCTTAGTAGATGCATTAGTCAGCTTCCCATTACTATAACAGAACACCTGTGATAATTTATAAAGAGAAAGCATTCTGAAGGGTCTACTCCAAGATAAGCAGCCCCAGTTCCTTTTGACCTCTGATGAGGTAACGCGTCATAGCAAAGGAACATGGTGGTACAAACCGGACTCCTGAGCCAGCCAGCAAGAGAGAAAAGGGTCCCCAATCCCATTTCAAGGGCACACCTGCAGTGACATATAGACTTCCCACTAGGCCCCAGGTCCAAAAGTTCTACCAACTCCCAGTGACACCACACTGGGGACCAAGCCTTAATACCAGCACTGTATATAAAACCACACCAGTAGAAAAAGCTCCTTGCTTAAACTAACTGCCTCTCTCATTTATTTCTTCATTAATTTAGCCTTTACAGTTGACAATGTTTCCCCAGTACTAACTAGTTCAGATGTTAAGGGCACCCCCCCAGTGAGTCTGGTTGCCAGAGATAAGACAGGAAGCAAGCCTGTAATGCAGGGCAAGTATAGTGTGCATGTGTTTACTGTGTTCAGAAATCTGCATTAAATATTTTGTGTTTGAAAGTAACTTACAGCTAAAGTTTGCAGTTGCAAAACTTGCCGTCTTGAAACTAGGTAATTGGCTTTATTGTCCTTTTTCTAGCCAACCTTCAAGGTCATTTCTATGATTGCCACATTTCTGCATAGGATAGAACCCAATAAGTGTTGAGCAAGTCCTGTTTGCTTAATAACTGTTAGCTAACAGACAACACTGTTTCACTGGACTGGAAGGTAGGAGGTGTTTTAATTTAACAAGCATTTATTGAGATAAAAGGATAAAATGAAGGGAGCCTAACCTGAGACCCAAAGCCACAATCACTCTAGTCCCACTTTTTCCACTTTAAGGCACTCCAGTGTCTAAAAATTGGATAAATAAGAAATATAAGTAAATGGATTTCTTGATAAAAACCATTCATGTTGCAATTCTTTGACTGGTGAGTTTTCGTAGTGCAATAAAATTAATATAAACCAATAATTTGCATAGAGCCCATTTAATAATGTGTCAGTTTTTATAAAGGAAAGGGCAGCTTTCTGTTTTTAAGTGATCCATCAAACAAAAACTACGCTGAACTCTATGGCAACTAAACATTATTGTTTTCTAATGCAAAGTGTTTTTAAACCATGTACTAACTTGAAATTACTGATTCTACAAAAGTGTTACATTTTATCTGGTTGGTATTATTAACCCTTACTAGTCAAAAGGAATCTCCAGAGAAAGCAACTTTGTATTTCATTGTCCTGAAACATAGTATTCTGCCTTTGGAACTTGCAAGTTATGGACTGAAACAGCTGAGTTTGGTATTTTTTCCCACAGTGATAGCTGCCTTTTGGAACACTTCCCTTCTGATGACAGACCCAACATCTATGAAATAGCTTTGAGAAAGGAAAAAAAAAAAAAAATCTTACCAGAATCTAACCAAACCTCCCTAGATCCAGCTGCAATTTACATAAGAGGCAAAGGGACATATTTACTGGCACCTTGGTAAAATTTTATTCCTTACAGAAATAGTGAGAATACAAGGGTTGACACATAGCAGCCAACTGCAGTGTGTAGACCTTACTTGAATCTTGAGCTCACAAAACGTCATACAGTAGATGACATTTTCAAAAATGAAATACTGTAAGTTGCCATTTAATATTACAGAATTTTTATTTACATTGGTAATTACTGAAATTAAGTTACAATTACTTAGGATTGATTACACTGGGTTCTGTTTTCAACATGTTTCTCATAAAAATTAAAATAGGGTTGTTATTGAACTAAAAGGGAAACAAAGATGTTCCCTTTAATCTTTTTTCAAAAGAAAAAAATGGAAAATAATTTAAAATGTTAGTTGGTAGCAGAATCAACTTCATTAGGGCTGGAGCTATTGGTCAGTGGCACAGCGCCTGCCTGGCAAGCACAAGGTCATAAGTTCAATTCCTGGCACCCCCCCCCCAATGAATCAACTTCATTTACTCAGTTACATTCATTATATAAAATCATTTATGTGTAGTAATGAACTTCAGTTATTTTATATATAATTAGATTGGTTTTTGGAAGGGCAGAATTGCTAAATTTGGGAGAACAAAATGTTAAGATTCAGTGACGTTACTACTCTGGTTTAGAATAGAGAATACACTTCTCAGACTCATTTTCCTTTGGAAATAAATGGTAAGGTTCCCAAAGCATCCTGCAACCTTTATATTAAAGTGGTTCCACAAACTGTTGATATAATGATACTAAATGTGTAGGACATTAGACTACAGAGTGAGACTGGTGTTTACATATTCCTGACGTTATTTTGGTTTTTTCCCCTAGGCAGAAGCTGAGGAAGATTGTCATTCTGATACCGCCAGAGCAGGAGATGATGATGTGAACGAAAGTCCTGCTGAAACAGACCTGCAGGCTTGTATTTTCAGTTGTTACTCCATCCCTTCCCATGTGTAAACAGGAATTGGCCCTGATTATACACTTGCAAGTTCGGGTGGTTTGCGCTGAATTTGATTGTATTGCCTTTAGAATACTTAAATTACATTATGAATTTTTCCATAAAAAGCAATGTTAATAACGGGTGTGTAATTTAGTATGTGGGCTTTTCAAAATAAGGCTTAAGCATGACTCAAAACTCATCTCTATAGAAAACGGATTGACAAGTTTGGCCCCTTAAAGGTGTAGATTTTTAATAAAGGCATCAGAAATAAAATTTAAAGGTAGCTAAAATAGCTGTTGACCACAAATGAGTAGCGGATTGCTAGGTAGTGTCTTGGTTACTTTCTTTACTGCTGAGACAAAAATACCTGATTCTCACAGTTAAAAGAGGGAAGGTGTATTTCATCTCAGTTTGTTTTACTCGGTACTCAGAGAGGGGCAGCTACTCAGGGGCGGGCGGCGTGGCAGGGGGAGGAAGAATGGTCGAAGGTGAGGCAGGCGGAAGGCAGGAAGGCCGAGAAGGTGCAAACAGCTGTGCTGTCTATCTTTTCCTTCTAGTCCGATTTGGCTACAAACCTAATGGTTGCCGCCACCCTCACCCAGGGTTGGGCTTCCCGTTACCCACACCCAGAACAGTGCTAGCCAATCAGTGCACTAATCCACTTAACACACCTTTAATCCACACTCAACACACCCTAGAGGCAGCCAACTCCAACAAAGGCCCACTGTGAGTACATGAGGCCATGGGGAGGCCTCCAGACACAAGCCATAGCAGATAGCCTCAGTGTGTACACCACTCTCAGAGATTAGAAGGACACAGAATAGAAAGATGCGGACCGTCAATGAAAAAGATGGGAGTGACTTAAATATCTGAAGCAGAAATTAATGTTAATAGTAATATAATCCCTGCACTTGGGAGGCTGTGGCAGGAGGATCACCAGGAGTTCAAAGCCACCCTGGGCCTACCTGGTGAGCCAGCCTGAACTGCAAAGTGAGACCCTGTCTCAAAAAACAAACAAATAAAAATAATTTTTGGGTGAGAAATGTCCAGTGCTGTCTGAGTTGTGAGTACGCTAGTACAGTATACATGAAAGTGTAAACTGTCCTAAATTTTCTGGGGGCACAGTGGCAATGTGAGTCAAAATTAAAACATGCATTCTTTCTCATAAAAAATTGTACTTCAGAAGATAAACCTTAATGGAATCATGGAGAAAATGAGTACATAAATACACATGTACAAAGATGTTCCCTGTAGTATTCTTTGTGTGAAAAAGTGGCCTAGAGCCTGCATACCCCTTCCTTGTGTTTACATGATGCTGTGTCGTTCATTAAAATACTCTGCAGATAAGTCTTTGTGCATTGAAACAGGGGAAAAACTCAATGCGATTAGATAAGTGAGCTAATTATTGAATTTATGGGCTTATAGTGTGTTTATACACTATAAACACACTATATAGTGTTGTTTAGTAGACACTGAATGCTACTAAAGACTTAAAGGTCATAGGTGTGTGTAATAGCACATGTCAGTGTGGGAACGAAAGCAGTGGTTTAGAGGAAAACTTCTTTTGTTTGTTTTTCTTTTAAGCACAGGAAGCAGCTCCTGAGGTACAGGAAGGGGGCTGAATAAGTGCCACTGAGGCCCTTGTCAGGGGTAATTTATATAGCAAAGTCACAGAGTGGGTGAAACTATAGCCAACCAGTAAGATACGAAGTTATTTTTCTGCCTTTGCTGGGACAAAATTCCCAATACCCAGAGTCAAGGAAAGAAGGATTTTTTTTAGCTCGCAGTTTACAGAGGTTCGGGTCCAGAATTGGTTGGCTCCAAGGCAGAGTGGCACACGACGGGGGCAGCAGTTCATGAGGGCAGAAGGCAGCAAGAGAAGTGAAGAGGAGGAGCAGCGAGCCTCTCGTGTCGAGTGCAGGCTCCCCGGGGTGGGTGTGGCACTCGCACCTCCAGTCCCAGCAGTGACAATGAACCACTCACACAGGATCATGGTAAGCCACTTAGCTGACACTAGGGAAGTGGGCACATAGCACGGTACCTGGCCACATCATTACCGTGGCTCATCTGGCTTACGACTTCTAAAGCAGGAGTGTTTTGGGGAGGGCATGGGTACGGGTGTTCTGGACGCTCATCCAGCCCTGATGCGTGCGGTATCTGTGCTGGAATACAAGTTACAGTATGGTCTCAGGTTTCCATTTATCCCTTAGGAAAGTGTGCAGGTCTGGCCATCATGACTTTATCTTGGAGTCTTCCTTCTTCAGATGCGCCTCCAGCCGCAGTTTTAGTGGTTCTCATCTTCTGTACTGGCTTCTTCCAGGGCGTATCCCTAACTGCCTATTAATGTCTACCTGGTTTAGCTGCCTGTATTACTCCCCTCTGAAGAGCTGTGCTTCACTGCTTAGGGGCGAATGGGTGTAGTTTCAGTATAAGTGCTTTGAACTGAGAAGGTGCAGGTGACACCGAAGTGGCACCTGCAGAAGCTAATCCTAAGGAGTGTTGGGTAGGAGCCGTGTGGGGTTTGGCAGTTCTGAACCCCCTTCACAAGTTGAGTCTACAGATCCAAGTCTGGCCCATTTGTCATTGGTTCCATCTGCACGATCACTTGGAGTTTGCAGCCTCTAGGCAAGAGTAAACACACTTGCTCAAGAGGTCCAGCATGGATGACCAAAACATGAGCACTGGACTCGGACAGGCAGCATAGGAAAGAGCCGTGGTGAGACTGCTCACAAGGGACTGGAGCAGCGATTGTGACCAGGAGGGGCTCCGAGACCTCTCTAGTGTTGGAGGTCATCTGTAAATCCCATCTTTCTTTCTTTCTTTCTTTCTTTCTTTCTTTCGCTATTTTTTTTTTTCTTTTTTTTGGTACCAGGGATCGAACTCATGACCTTGCACTTTGCCAGGCAAGCACTCATGCTGCTGAGCTAAATCCCTGTCCCAATCTGATATTTCTTTACCACAAGTCCCTTCACTTTCAGCTATAAGAAGATACAGAGTTCAGGGATTTTAAGGACAGTTTTAGTTAAGGAATTGAGAAAAACATGTTTACAACATATTTTACAACATTTTTACATATTTTGTAATTTTTCAAAAAAGGAAGGCAAGCAGAATATACACAATGCATTAGCAACTGCCCTCTTGGATGGGGCAACCCTCGGGTTAAAGTGGACATCACCATGCCTGAGACAAGGCACACTCCTGGGGCCCACTGGGACCCATGGAGGGCAGGGAGGCAGGAGGGACCAAGGCCCCGGGACCAGGGCAGCAGTGCAGTAGATGTCTAAGGATGGACCACCCGTCGGAGGTGTCTCCGGTGCACGAGGCTTTTATCAGTCCTCAGTCAGTGGTGTGTGGCGATGGAAGACAGCGTGGTCACGCCAACACTTCAGAAGACCGACAGCTTGGGCCATTTTCAGGACTTGGAAAGTCATTCTAGCAAGATTTTTAGTCCCCAAAAGGAGTGTGAGTAGCCCTTTGGAGTCTACTGTATTAGAGGACTTTACTTCCTATTTTATGTTTTTAAAATGATACATGTTAGGAAAAAATTCCTTTTCAAATACAGAATACTTATTAAAGAAAGACTTTAGGCTCACCTACAGAGCTTTAACAGCACTTTTAATGTCTGCTGCATGACGTACTCATTAACAAGCTTTTAGGTTTAGTTCCTAAGCCCTGGCTTGCGCTGTTAATTCTAGTTAAAATGTACTTCTCCAATACCATTGTCCTTCTGCTGTATAAACAGTTATTATGGGCCAAGTTTCATTCTTTAAAGTTTTAAGTAGAAAATGATTTGAGGAGATAATAAGTGTTCAGTATTTAGACTGTTTGTCTTTTTTTACTTAGAATAACAAGAATAAGCATGTTGGCTACACTGATAAGCCGGCCCAGAGTTAGGCTGCCTTCTTGATGAGTCCTGAAGTACTTTTCTGCTTGTAGGCACAGCTCCAGATGTTCCGGGCTCAGTGGATGTTTGAACTCGCCCCCGGGGTGGGCACCAGCGCTGTGGAGGCGCGACCTGGCAGAGCAGCAAGAGGTGCTGTGCTGAAGGCAGCCGCAGATGCCAGGGGAAAGCAGGAACTGGCAAAAGAAGAAAAGTTAAGTATGAAAGATCCTTCGACACATTTTCTGTCTTTCTTTTTATTTGAGGAAGGAGGCACTGGAACTTTCAACAACATAAGGAAGTAGTCATACTCTGGTGATGTAGATACATAAAAGAATTTCTCCTCTCGTTGAAAACGTGGTTACTGTGCCAGTTTCTATGTCCTCACTTGTAGTTGCTTTGGGTGATACCAAGAGCTCTTTTCTCTCCAGATGAAAACTATTTTCATGGAATTGTCTTTTTTAGGAGATTTTTAAGAGTTATTTGACCTCTAAAAGATTGAAGCCTCTCAACAGGAGCTCAACATGGGGTTTACTCAAATGCATACCTTTTCAGAAGTTGTCTTAGATGTAGTATTTTGTGCTGATCATTTCCCTGCTGTGGAAGTTTTCGTAAGTGTTCACTCTGAATGTATTTGAGTGTTACCCAACTGCGGCCTTGTCCAGGTCGCTGTTCACACAGAGCAGGCAGCAGTACCTCATCCATTAGGAGCTGTCTTCCTCTTCCCTGGGGGCTGCCTGTGCCATCGTCACACCGTCTAACCAGGTTTCTGTGTGCGAATAGCAATTAAGTAACGTTACCCTGGTGATTAAAACCTTACACGCTTGTTTTATTGTAATTTTTACTTTAAAATCCTTGAGGGCTTCCAGACAGAAGCTCTGTAAATCCTTCACCCATCCTCCTCTGACGGTAGCATCTTGCATAACAGTAACACAGTATCAAAAAGTAGGAAGTTGGCTTTGGTGTAACCCTCTGATAGCCTGAGTTTAAAAGCATGTTTTTTTATTTGCAGTGATAGGACATGGTGTCTTAGTTACTTTCTCATTGCTGAGACACAATACCCAACACCTAAAAATTAAAGGAAGAAAGGTTTGTTTTGACTCACTGTTGGTAGAGATTTCAGTCTGCAGTCAGCTAGCTCAAAGAACAGCAGGCAGAGAAAATAATGGAGAAGAGAGAGACTTACCTTCCAAGCCATACCCCCCGTGTGACACCTCCCAGCATAAACTTAGCTATAAACTCATCAGTCGGCTAATGAGTGTTACACACCCAAGGTCTAATCACCTCTCGAAACCCCACCTGTGAGCTTTGGGAGGACATCAGGTATAAACCATAATGCATGGGTAGCTCTGTGTCATTGCCACCACGGTCATGATAGAGAGCTTGTCAGCTTAAATGACAGCAAAGACTGGCTCTGAAAAAAGATTGAATTGTGGAATGAGGAAATTGCATTCTGGAATATGTGCTATAGTAGATAAATCGTAGGCATATTTGCAGAGGCAAAGGAGACAAGGATTTTTAACTGCAAAGTGAGCAAGATTACAAAAGTTATGTTGAAGTAGTTATCTTGGGCTGCAAGGATTAACAAGAGATGTGTTTGCAGAAGTCTCTGTGTGAAGTTGCCATAGCTTTTGGGCAAGTTTGCAGTTTACAGTCCCTTGTGGTGGTTTTTGTTATCAGGTGCATTGTGCATGGGGCCACCCTTCATGATCCCTCAGCTGTATTTGCCAGTTCAGGCATTTGTGACTCCATTTAGATTCTGACAACTTTGGCGAAGTGTTTCATCCCCATAAGGCTTCTTTCTCTTTATAGTTAGTTACATTTTACCTTCCCTTACTGTCTGAGTTTTCTTGTTGCTGAGACAAAATACCCAACACCCAAAGTTAAAGGAGGAAAAGGTCTGTTTTGGTTCACTGTAGAGGTTTCAGTTCATAGTCGGCTGGCTCCAGGGCTGGGTGGCACGGCAGAGGGGTGTCACAGAGGAGAAACAGTTCATGGCACGGAGGAGGCAGCAAGCAACGAACAATGATAACAGCCCTTGTTCTGTCTCTTGTATTTTGTCTAGACCAGCCATTCTTAGGACAGGTAGGTAGCATTCATACTCTTAATCCTGGCATTGTGCTGTGAATCAGTCCCAGTATCACATCCTTGATCCCAACATCTCACACCCTCAATTCTGCCAACTCCAAAAAGTTTGGGGCATCTAGATATAAGCCGTAACGTCAGCCATCCTGCCACTGGCAGACACCACCAATCTGTTCTCCATCTTACAACTTTTGCATTTAAAAATGTCCATCCATTCTTCATCATACAGTATATATCGCCTTTTGAAATCCACTCCGCGTAATTGCCTTGACATCTATCCCAAGTCGAGTGCCAGTCTGCTCTTACCTGTTGCAGGGTAGGGCCGCATGGTGTGGATATTCTCAGGGTTTTACACTGCGTACTGGTTGAAAAAATTTGAGTTTCTAGTTTTGGACCACTATAAATAAAACTGCTATGAATATTTGTGTTTTGGATTTTCCATAACATAAACTTTCATCTCTCTAGAATGAATGAATGCCCAAGAGGGCAATTGCTGAGTTTTAGTAAGTACGTATTTGTTTTTAAAAGAAACTGCCAAACTTTTCCAGAATGTCTGGGCCGTGTATTCACTACCAGTGTGTGAGTGATCCAGTCTCTGTGTGTCCTCTTCTTCATTTGGTAGTGTCTTTACTTTATAGCTCTGGGCACTGCAATAAGTAGATGGTAATTAACTTGTGACTTAATTTGTATTTCCCTAATGACTAATGATGTTAAATACCTTCTCAAGTTGTTATTTCCCACCCACATCTCCTTGACAAAATAACTGTGCTTTTACTAGATGATTTGCTTATAGTTTTGGGTTTTTTTTTTTCCAAGATTCCTTCATGTATTCTGGATGCAAGCCCATTGTGAAATATGTGAGCTATAAATGTTTTCTCCCAGCTTGTAGCTTATTTTCTCATCCCCACACCCATCACACTTTGTAAAGCAAAAATTTTTTGATGAGGTCCAGTTTACCAACTTTCCCTTTCATGCGTTGTGTTTTTCATGTCATGTAGAAGAATTCTTTGTTTAGTCCTAGGTTGCTGAAATTTTCTGTTTGCTTTCTGTAAAAGCTTTATAGATATTACATTTAAGTCTCTGATCCATTTCAAGTTAATTTTTACATGAGGTATGGGTTTTTAAATTGAAATGCAGTATTTTGCCCCCAGATGGCCAACTGCTCTAGCAATCTTTGCTGAAGAAGCCTTCTTGCCATCAGTATTTATTTTTAATACGGATTTTCAAACATTGCTTTTCACCTTTTATCTGTGCAGGCTCGAGAACTCTTCCTACAAGCAGTAGAAGAAGAACAGAATGGAGCTCTGTATGAAGGTGAGCCCCAGGGCCCAAGAGCGCGCGGCTTAGTGCCAACTCTGTGTCACTGTTTTTTTTTTTTCTTTTTTTTACTAGAAGTTATTTGATGGCAAACATCAGTCTCCCTATATTCTATAGTTTTTTAAGGGAAAAATAAAATTTATATTTTATGTGTCTTGTGTCTTTCTGAAAAATATGAGTTAAATAAATGTTTTTCTACATTGTTTCAGTGTTCGTTAATACTTCATTAATGTATTTATTTTAACATAAGCTATATTCTTTGCAGAGGTGAGAATTACTTCAGAGGAGGGAAATACCAAGGATAAATCAAAGAATGAATAGTTATTAAGTTCTAATTTCATTTTATTAAGGAAACAAGCTTCAGCTTTGTCTCTTACTAACCCCATGGAAGTACATGCATAAAATAAGTATCCTGTTTACCATATTATCTTGGTAATTGTGGTTTTGTTTTTTAATAGTAAAGGTCATAATTGGGACACAAGAAAAATGCTTTTGCTTAAATCGTTTGAAAATGCCCCCAAAATAACATTATTTGCAGTTATACTGTAGTTATTTGCAGGTTTCTTTACTCGTGTTTTATGTGGATTTTCAATCCCTACGTAGTCTTCGTAGCTTGTAAGATTCCCAGCTCAGTCCTTCCTGGAGGGTAACTCGGCCAGGATAACAGAAACTGTCAGAATGTGTCCAAATGACAGACCTCATCCAAGGGAGAAGGAGCTCAGCAGTCCCCACAGCCCCAGGCTTTGGTGATGTCTCTACAAGGGGAGAGCTCCGAACCAACCAGGCCAGGAGATTTGCCTAAAAACTGGTTTTAAATGTTATTTAAATAGACAGCTGGGCTAAAGGAAGTTAGATTTGATGGGTCAATTCAAAGAACTCTTTTCTGTGATGTCTATTAGAAAGCATTTGAATTTTCTCAATTTTGTCATAAAATTTTTTTTTCTTAGAAGTCTTTTGGTTGGATGATAGAATTGCATAAAATCACTACTAGTGAGACATAAGAGGATGAGAAAAACGTGGGAAGGACAGGAAGATAACAGTAAATACATCTTAAATTTCCAGCATATGTTAACCTAAAAGGTTACTTTCTGAACTATAAAGTTTGCATTTAAGTTTTTTCAGTGAATGGCCATTGTATGTAGAAAAAGAAAATTTGACTGTTTGAAAAGAAAGTTACTAAATTAAAATGTAACTAAGAATAATCAAAGAAAATGACAGAAATGTGTGGTCATAGCTAACTTAGCTTTATTTCTTCTTTCAGCCATCAAGTTTTATCGTAGGGCTATGCAGCTTGTACCTGATATAGAGTTCAAGATTACCTACACCCGGGCTCCGGAAGGTGATGGTGTCGGGAACAGCTAGTGCGTATAAAACTCAGTAGACGGTAACGCGTCGCCATGCTGACACGGTCACTAAGCTCTGTAGTACGCAGAGTGTATTGTTCAGAAAGTTACAGAAATTGGTAATTAGGAAAATTTAAGGTTAAAATTCAGAAATGTACACTTTAAAATAGATGCAACAAAAAAGTGTTGAAATTTTTCAAAATAACTGAAAATAGTCAAAAATTAAACCAGTTCAGAGTGCTAAAATACAAGTACTGAGATGTTAATAATGGTTGAAATTGGGTAACAGTACATGAGGTTTAACTATAGTCTCTCCTTTTTTTAATTAGTACAAATTTGTGTATTTGAAACTTTACATTTAAAAAACATTTTATTAAGAAAATGCTGAACTCTGTGACAAGATTTTTGTTCTCTTAATATGTATAGATAGAACATTATTAAAACTAACATTTTTGGCCTTATTTTATTTTTATTTATTTTTATATTTAGTTTTATTTTTTATTATTACATTTTGGGGAGGCAGAGTGTCGGGAATTGAACTCAGGACTCAGGCCTGCTGGGTAGGTGCTGCACCACTGCCCTAGATCCCCAGTCCCCGGTTAGGGCAGTGTCAGTACGTGACGTTACATTCCTTGTGTGGAGTCCATACGTGAAAGTTCCCAGTCCTTGTTCTCACCCCTTCCGCCTTCCTCCTCCGGCCCTCCCGCCATCGCTTCATCCCCTTCCCACTTCTCGGCACCTGTTTTACTTTGTTCTTTATTTATATTTTGGGTTTCTCCTATCAGAGAAACCATGTGATATTTCAGCCTGTGTGTCTCATTTAACATTGTGGTCTCAAGGTGCTTCATTTTCGTACAGGTGATGCAAGTTTATGTTTCTTTATGCCGGAGTAGGACTGCTGTTGGTGTGAGTAGACTGGTACAACCACTGTGGGCATCAGTGTGGAGAGCCCTCAAACCAAAGCTAGAACTTCCATTTGACCCAGCTGTTGCCCTGCTAGGTATCTTCCTGAAAGAGTTGGACATAGTCCAGGGATATATGTATATTCATATAGCATCACAACTCATAGTAAAATAACAGCCTGATGGTACACACCTTTAGTCCTAGTACTTGGAAGGCTGAGGCAGCAGGATTGTGATTCAGGAACACCCTGTACTGCATAGTGGATCCAGTTTCAGAGCAAAAGGCCAAGGGAAGTAGGAAAATAGTTTTGATAAGGAGATACTAAGTATTATATTTACTCTGTCATGCAATAGTTAATTTATCATATTATTGCCAATGGTTTTAATCTGTGCATGTCTGTTAACATTCAAGAAGTATATAAGCCATATTATAAACATGCAGTGAAGTCACTGTTAATTGCCTGTTTAAACTTTTCAGCTAATATTTACGCCAAACTAGAGTTCATAGCACTGAGTAGTTCATGCTCAAAATGAATCGTCTGGGCTTTTTTCTAACCGTTCTTTCAACTTGGATAGTCACTTAAACTCAGCTGTTTGCGTGTGTTTTGTAGGTGCCAGGTGCTTTTAAGGAGCATTGTCTTAAAACCTTAAAGAAGCGTTAGTTAGCTGGGGATGTAACTCAGCAGCAGAATGCTTATCTAATAAGCAGGAAGCCCTGAATGTAGTCCCCAGCACCACAAGAAGAAAATTGCTTTCTGTCCCATTTCATTATACAAACTCAGATGCTATGAAAGTTCTTTATGGCTGCAGATACTCCTTTTATTACAGATCTTGAAAGTTTCCTCAGCAAGCTTTTGTTTACTGCCTTCTCCTGTAAGATGTTGATAGGACAGCCACTAAGTTCATCTAGCTCAGTACCCTCGCTGCTCTTCATTGTACTCTGAAAACCTTTCCTTTCTCTTCATCCTCACCCAAAGCTTTTTACAATTCTGATCACCAAGGTTAACTTCAGCAAATGTGGAACACCACACATTTTTTAGCACTCTTTTATGTGTATTTCTGAATTGGTAGATGATTTATGGACCCTAAAATTTTTTTCAAATTAGATATTTTCCTCTTTAATGGCTTGGTGTTAAGGCAAATCTATTACAAAATCCTTGGTCAGTACAGTACTTCATGTGACATCTATTTGATTTTTACCCAGATTGAAAGAATTATGAGCACATAAGCTATTTATTTATGTAAAGATTTCAAACCATTTGCAATTTTTCAATAACTCAAAGAAGTGTTTACTGTAAAGTAGACTAATAAATCTTACCACCTGAATCCAAAAAATCCTAATTATCTTTTTGAAAAACTTGGTATGAGCCAGGCATAGTATCACACACCTGTTAACCCAGGTACTTGGGAGGCTAACCCAAGAGGATTGCAAGCTTGAATCCAGCGTGGACAACTTAATGAGAACCTGTCTCAAAAAAGGACTGGCCAGGGCTGGGGATTTAGCTCAGCGGCATAAACACCTGCCTTGCAAGCAGGCGGTCATGAGTTCGATCCCTGGTACCCCTGGTACCGATAAAAAGGAAAAAGGCAAAAAAAAAAAAAAAAAAAAAAAAAGGACTGGCAATAGAGCTCAGTGGTAGCACGTGTGAGACCTTAGGCTTCCCCTTAGGAAAAGGGGAAACTATGTATGGTACTCCTTTGCAAGGCAAGATAATTTGTGACCGCATTTTAAAAATGTATTTTTTAAAAATTTGCTCTTAGCTGACTTTCCAAAGCAGATTCGAATGTGCTAGGAACAAGTTTCTGGACAGTGTGTTGGTAATTCGAGGCCCAGTTTCACCTCCCTTCCTTCCTTCCAGCATTGAAGATAATGATGATGATAGCAAGATGGCCGACCTCTTGTCCTGCTTCCAGCAGCAGCTCACATTTCAGGAATCTGTGCGCAAACTGTGTCAGCCTGAGCTGGAGAGCAGTCAGACCCACATATCAGGTGTGGATTCCGTAAGAAGCACTGTAACCTCAGGTTGAGTGTTTCCAGACCTCAAAACTAAGATAATTTGTCGGGTAATTGCTGCCTAGTTCAGAATACGGTGGGAGGTCTGGCTTGTAACCACTGTTTGTACGAACAAGTTTTTCCAAAGTCGAAGTGGAACAGCATTTGTAATGCAGTTGTTTAAGGATGCCAGACTTTCTGTGACGTTCAATCAAGAGTGGCTGAGGCACCCTGAGAAAATTAGATACAGGTATCATGGATTATCTCAGCCAAGGTGGACAGTCGCCCAAGACAGGCTCCATGTTGGGAAATTAATGTTGTTCTGTATTGGATGTTGTCACATGATTTTCAGATGAGGACAATTTAGAATTTTGAAAAAGGTAAAAGCAACATCGTAATGTTAATACATTATGGAATCATTTAGTAAATTATTTTAGTATGTCTTGGCAGTAAAATCTTGCAAAGGGAGAGGGTACTTCATATAAGCAGTTTGAAATCTATTGTATGCTAAAAAAAATAACATTGCATCTTGATGTTAGGAAACATTGATTGCCATTGGGTGGCTCAGTAGTTCTGAGCCATAGTTGGAACGTGTGTATAAATTTATGAGTCTCTGAGAGTGCAAACACAGCCTGAGAATGTGGTGGCGACAGTGGGCGGCTTGCAGGAGCCGCACTGAGAGACGGCTTTCTTCTGCAGCACTGCCCATGGAGGTCCTGATGTACATCTTCCGCTGGGTGGTGTCTAATGACTTGGACCTCAGATCGCTGGAGCAGCTGTCACTCGTGTGCAGAGGCTTCTATGTCTGTGCCAGGTACTTGCTTTGCTTTTCAGTGACTCAGGCAGTGAAGAACAGGATTATGAAAAGTTTTTTGCCAATTTTGTGAACTCATTTGGTAAAAGCTTGAAAATGAACAGAAGTTTTTGCAGAGCTGTCTATAATATGATCTTCTCAAATAACTTAGCGTTTAAAGGTTCAAATGTGCTGTTTGCAATGTGTAGAGCAATTTGTAAAACAGACGGAGTCATACATGTTGCTTGCATTGAGGTTTCATATAAGCTTAGCTGACATGGAAAAAGGATTTATGTTAGAAATACGTAGACTGGGCTTGGTGCATTCCTGTAATCCCAGCACCTGGGAGGCCAAGAGTTTGAGGCCAGCTGAGCTACATAGTCAAAGCCAGTCTGAACTGCATAGTGAGATCCTGTCTCAGAAAACACCCCACACACCAAAAAAAAAAGAAAAGAAAAAAACAAGTATACATTCAGGTTATTTTTACAGTAGCTCTTGAGCCCATTTGTGGTAGTGATTTAATTTGGATTGCTCTTTTGGCCCCTTAAAAGTTATTCTATTCCTTTAAAATTTTACTATGTCAAAAACAATCATAATTTAATATAAAATCATTTGAAACTGATCTTTCGTAGGTTTCTTATTTAAAGAAATATTAGATATATATATATATATATATATATATATATATATATAGAGAGAGAGAGAGAGAGAGAGAGAGATTAGGTATATATACTACCTAATCCTTACCATGTAGAATATTTTGTATAGCTTTAGTTCTTAAACTCAGATGCTTTTTTTTTTTTGGTAGTTCAGGGTACTCACTATGTAGCCTGTGTTGGCCTCTTAACTCACAGAAATCCTTCTGCTTCAGCCTCCCAGCATTGGGATGACAGGTATGTGCCACACTATGTCCTGCCAGGTGCATTATTTTAAATAACTTAATTCCATTTGGAATCTTGTATTTTGCATACAATATTTGAATTGCTTGAAGACTTTTTGGTTATTCTAGGCATTGGTTTATTTAACACATACTTACAAGCATCTATTAGATTGTTAGCCTTTTGAAATTAAGGTTTCTAACAGTTATTCTTACATCAGAAAATGTAAAAGATTTGATTAAGAAAAGTTAATTTTGGTTATTTTTAGGAAAAAATTGAATATACATTTCAAAGCATATTTGTTTTGACTAACATTGAGATAAATTTTAAGTTCATCTTTCCCAGTGTGACAAGGATATAAATAAGTTTTGCTTGTTCAAAACTATTTTAAGTTATAGGTAGAATATTAAATAATCGAGCTGTGTCAGAGTCATGTCAATTTTCCGCACATCACTTGCTTAGTGATTTTCCCATGCTCCATGAGAAAGTGCTGCTGGTGCTACCTTTAAAACTTATTTCCATTGTTACCGTTTTGTCCCTGCTGTGGCCACCGTTGCAGCTCAGTCACCAGTCTAGCTGGACTGAGTAGTGCAGTGGCATCCAGCATAGTCTACTGGCTGCTGTCTGTCCCCAAAGAATATATTCTTTGTAAACTTCCTTTTCCACATTTTAAATTGAATTGTTTTCTTGCTGTTGAATTGAGTTCTTTCATATTTTGGATATTAGTTCCTTATCAGATGTATAGTGTAAGTATTCTCTCCCATTCTGTATATTGCCTGCACTCAGTTGATTGCTTCTTCTGCTGTGCAGAAACAATTTCTTATTGAGCACTATATAGTTGGGTCTTGTTTTTATCCACCAGTCATTCTGATTTAGTTGCATAATTTAATCCATTGCATTCAAGACAGTCATTGATAGGTGAGTTCTTACTACAGCCACTATTACCTTGCTTTCCACTTTTGTTATAGTTTTCCTTTTTTCTGTCTTCCTCTCTTACAGTTTTCCTTTCTTAAGTGATTTCTTCCAGTTATTTTTTGGTTCCTTGATTATTATAGTTTATTTGTGCATTCTAGATTTTTCTCTGTGGTTACCAGTGAAGCCTAAAAACAATCTTTTGATTATAACCATTTCTTGTTTGTTGTTGTTTGGCTTTTTTGAGGCAGGATCTCACCGTGTAGTCTAGGCTAGCCTTGAACTTGTGGAGGAGATATTCCTGCCCGGGCCTCCGAGTGCTGCATTTACAGGTGTGTGGCCCCACATCCAGCTTAGGAATTATAGCAGTTTAACATAATTGTATAGTTAAAAAGAACAAAAACAAAAGAACAAGAGAAAATGTACTAATAAAGATACTTTGTGCTTGTATATCATTCTTTCATTTTTAATTTTTGATATCCTATTTTATATCTTTCTGTATTATATATCTTTTAACATGCTAATGTAGTTTTTTAATTGGCTTTTTAAGTCTTCATAGCTAAAGATACAAATCTTTAGTCCTAAAATATGAATGGTTTACTCACCATGCTGGCAATATTAGAACATCCTGAATTTGTTTGTATAATTACTCTTAACCAGTGAGTTAGACTTCCCTGTTACCTTCTTTATTCCCATCTCATTCTTGAGCAACTTCCTTTAGCATCTGGTTCATAGTCTCTTGGCTTTTGTATTTCTGGGAATGTTTTTATCACTCCTCCATTCCTAAAGGATAGCTTTTCTGCATACAGTATTATACTATTTCTTGAGTGCTATACTCGGGGTATTTAACACTCTGCCTGGTCTTTATGGATTCTGCCAAGTCAGTTGTCAAGAGAACAAGGACACTCCTATGTGCTGTTTTTTTCTCTTACAGCCTTGAGAATATTTTTGTGTTTTACCTTTCAGATTAAGATCATACTCTGTGCTTTTTGGTGAAATGTTGTATACATGTCTGTTAGGTCCCTTTGCTGGATAGTGTGGTTCACCTCATGGTTTTTGTTTTGTTTTCTCTCTGGATAATCTATCCAGCATGTTGTTGTCTAACACTTTTTTATGTATTTGGGTATTATCTCTTTTTAGTCTAACACTTGTTTTATGTATTTGGGTGACATCTTCCTGCTGAATCAATCTTTTTATCCATATATAATAACTTTGCATCTTTTTATGGCTTTTTATTTAATGTCTGTTTTATCTGGTTTGTGAGTGTGGCTAATCCTGCTTACTTTTGGTTATCATTTGTGTGACACAACTTTTTCTAATCCTTTGTTTTCAGTCTGTGTTCCTTACCCGTGAATTGAGTTTCCTATAGGCAGCTTATTGTGGTGCTTACTTTTTTTTTCCGTTCTGCCAATCTTTTACTTTGATTAGTGAATTAATCCAGCAGTAGGCAAGGTTGTTACTGGTAGGTGTGAACTGCCTCCTGTCATCTTGTTAGTTTTCTGTGTTGTCTGTGTTTGGTTCCTTGCAACACTTACAGTTTTTTAATTTGTTGGTTTTTTTGTGGTGCTAAGGTTTGAGTCTCTCCTTTTCCAAGTGTTGTTCTGTTGAGTTTATTCTGTTTGTGTGATTTCATTATTGTGGTAGGACTCTCTTAAGCATTTCTTACAGGACTAGCCTGGTATGGCAATGATGTTTTTAGTTTCTGCTTATTTCTCCTTCACTTCTTGAAGGGCATAGTATTCTTGGCTAGTGTTCTTTATTCTTTCAGGACTTTGTATCATCTCATTCTCTGCCAGCCTGTAAGGATCTTGTTGAGGCATCTGCTGTAAATCTAGGGTACATTCCCTTCTATGTGACCTGATGCTTTTGCTGTTTTTAGAGTTCTTTTTTTTTTTTTCTTTTGACATTTCGAATATAACCTGGTGACGAATATGCCCTGGTAAAGACACCTTCTGGCTGATCTAGTTGGGACCCTTTGAATTCTGGATGTCCAAACTTTGAAGACTGCGAAGCTTTGAGCTCCTAGTTTGTGAAACAAGTCCCAGTGCCGTTGCCTGCTACAGTCCGTGTGTCTGAAAACAAGTCCCAGTGCCGTTGCCTGCTACAGTCCGTGTGTCTGAAAACAAGTCCCAGTGCCGTTGCCTGCTACAGTCCGTGTGTCTGAAAACAAGTCCCAGTGCCGTTGCCTGCTACAGTCCGTGTGTCTGAAAACAAGTCCCAGTGCCGTTGCCTGCTACAGTCCGTGTGTCTGAAAACAAGTCCCAGTGCCGTTGCCTGCTACAGTCCGTGTGTCTGAAAACAAGTCCCAGTGCCGTTGCCTGCTACAGTCCGTGTGTCTGAAAACAAGTCCCAGTGCCGTTGCCTCCTACAGTCCGTGTGTCTGAAAACAAGTCCCAGTGCCGTTGCCTCCTACAGTTCGTGTGTCTGAATGCTTCACCTCTCAATGACATCTTGTATCTTGTGAGCTTTCTTCATTCTGAAATTCTTCAGTCTACTTGTTCTGTTCTGTTTTGGAAGCTCTTCATTTTTTTTTTTTTTTTTTTTTACTAGTTGAAATTTGTAGCTCTAAAATTTGTGATTTTTAAAAAATGAATTCTATCTTTTTGGTGAGTTTCTCATTTATATCCTAAGCTGCTTTTCTTATTTTTTTTCTATTCTCTATTTTCTATTCTCTGTGTCTCTGTAAATTTCCTTAGAATCATTATTTTGAATTCTGTTCAGGCACTTCGTAGATTTCCTTCAAATTCAAGTGTGTTTCTGCTAACTTAGTAGAAACTGTTTTTGTGGGTCTCATGTTTCCTCTCATGTTTCATGTGTGCCTACAGTGATCTCTCTACATCTGGTGTAACATTTGCTTCTTCCACTTCTGTGGGATAGCTTGTTTAGAAGCAGATTTTTTTTTCTTTTTTCTTTCTTTTCTTTTTTTTTTTTTTTAAAGCCAGAGATTAAACTCCCGATCATGTGCCTGGCAGGCAGGTGCTTATGGTACTGAGCTAAATCCCTGGCTCTAGATTTTGTTTTTGTTCAGATGGCACATAGGGTGTCAGCAGCTGCAGGGCCGGGACTCCAGGGCTGGGGAGGAGCCTCCTCTAGTTCCCATGGGGCAAGCAGAGATGTGACCTGGACTTGTGGTCAGAAGCTGCAGGGTAACAGAGGGGCTGTCCTCCATCCTCTGAGGCCCAAAGCTGCTGGCAGTACGGGAACTGGGCACTAGCCCCCGAGGCAGGGTGGCATCTAGAAACTGAGACTCAGGAGCTTGGCAGAGGCCCCATATGAGTTCCTTCTTTGTAGCAGGATGTCGCTCCTAGCCAGCCAGCTCAGACTGAGTTCAGACCCTCCAAGGATCGTGGAATTTTCTGCAGTGAGGACCCACAGTCCACTGCTGTGACAGCAGTTGATGGGTTACCTTTCCCTGGCCGTGTGGAGAGCTCCTCAGCCAGAGAGCCAGTGCTGATGTTGCTTTGCTCTGTAGTTGACTGCAGGCTGTTGAGGGTTCTCCTCACTTGCTTGTTCATTTCAAGAGTCTCCCTCAGTCATTCTCAAAAGAGAGGCTTCTCTCTGCTGCCTCGCCTCCTCTCTGATTCACTTTTATTCGGCTATCTTGGATCTTTCTCCTCAGGCTGGCAGCTTATTGTCAGCACTTGCAGTGTATCGTCCGTTCTCTCTTGGCCCAAGGAATCTGCTCAGCACACTGGAAGTCCCTGGGCGTCCACCCTCCCCCCCATTCCACCCTCCCATCCTCCACCCCACCCTCCTGCTTTCAGGATCCTCTTTGTCTCTGATCTCCAACACTTCGATGATACTGCCATGAGGTACTCTTTGGGCATATCTGATTGGAAATCTTTGACCTTCCTGCATGTGGATATTTGCATCTTCAGGTTTGGAAAGTTTCCTGCCGTGACTCCTTTGACATGTTCCCGCCAGCTTGAAGTAATGTCTGCATGACTGTCTCATCAGGCAGCTTGTGCCCCTGTTGGTACAAATGGATCTAATCACTTTTATTGGTCTTTTTACTAATTAAAAAAGCATAAGTGGACCAAATCTAGTTAGTTGCTTGAATCTGAATAATTACTGCCCAAATAAAAATACAAATAAAGTCATGCCATTTTTAAAACTTATTACAATAATCAACAAATTTATTTTATTAAAAGAAATTTATGTTTATGGATAGTTTGTCAGTAATTCTTTACATTTTTAACATGGAAATCTCACAAGTACCCTATTGCTGGTGTGTGTTTTATGCATTTCCAATTGCTGAATCACAAATTAGCCGTACTGTGACTCTGTACACCATTTTAATATGAAAGAACTGTAACATGATGGCGCTGGACTGCTGAGTCAGCGCCTTTTCTGGACACTAATCCAAGGCTCCTGAGAGGGCACTGGCTGCTCAGTGGGACAGTCGCATGTGTGCCCTGGTGCATTCAGACCGGAACCTCCAGGCGATGAGACAGGGTTACGGCCCCGTTGTGAATGTGTCATATAAGCATTTACCTCGTTGCCACTCTCTGCTCTCTCACGCCACTGGCTGGTACGTCTTCCCTTGGCGCTGTCCATACGCTGTGTACCCTTCATCCTTTTCCTCCTCTTTTCTCCTCGGATTATGTGTTTTCAGACAACTTGCCTTCAGGTCGAAGGATTGTTCTGCCTTGTCAGCTTTGTTGGTACTCTCTGTTACCTTTCATCATTTGGTTCATTACGTTTTTTACCTCCAGGGTTTCTCGGTTTCTTTTTTTTTTTTTTTTTGTCTTTTTCATTTTTTTATCGGTACTGGGGATCGAACTCACGACTGCCTGCTTGCAAGGCAGGCGCTTATGCCGCTGAGCTAAGCCCCCAGCCCCTTCTGGGTTTCTTTTCAGTTCCTCTATGAAGTTTGTCTGAGTCCTGCTCTGCCCTCTGTTCTTTTAAAAGTGTCAGCCGAGCTCCCAACCTCCGGCCGCTGCCTGTGTGAGTGGCTGCTCCCTCTGCAGGGTGCTGCCTGGTCTGCTGCTTCTGCCCCTAGGTCACGGAGTCTACCTGCACCTCATTTCCTTTTCTGCGCTTCCCCTCTGGCTCTTCCTGAGCCCCTCAGTCCCGCTCCTGCCTCCGAGCCTTACCCTTGCGGTGGCTCCTCCTGGCCTCGCTGTCTGGCACCATCATCGGTCTGCACGTGCTGCTGTGCCTGACAGCTTTCTCCTGAGCATACGCCTGGGACTCTTCTCTGCCGCTGCTAACACAGCAGGCAGCTTGCCTTGCCTCTCAGTGTCTCTCTCTGTAGCATGGAAACAGGGCCTCACAGGTGCTGACAAACTACTGATTGGACAGAGAATGGCTGGTAGGAGAAACAGTGTGGCTATCTCTAGGGACTCAGCTCTATATTTTTGATGTTGTGCTTTTTATCTAGAGACCCTGAAATTTGGCGTCTGGCCTGCTTGAAAGTGTGGGGCAGAAGCTGTGTTAAACTTGTTCCGTACTCATCCTGGAGAGAGATGTTTTTAGAACGGCCTCGGGTTCGGTTCGATGGTAAGTTAGAATCCAGAACTCAGGAGAAACAGTGATCTCTCAATTTCCTAGAGTTGACCTGAGAGCTTTGGGCTTCTTTAAAGGAAACCACAATAAAAATAAAGCTGGATTTGTGTTACATGATTATAAACTGTTTCTCCCAAAGAAAATGATTTTTATTGGTATATTTTAGGAATACGTAATGATCCATTCATCATAGGGAATCTGTACCTGTACCTGATAAAAGTTGTTTCTTTTGTTTCTCATCCCCTAATCTGCCTTCACGATTGTGGCTTTCAGAGTTTTTATTTTCTTAATTTTTACAGGCGTGTATATCAGTAAAACCACGTATATTCGCCAAGGGGAGCAGTCCCTTGATGGTTTCTACAGAGCCTGGCACCAAGTGGAATATTACAGGTACAACTGTAGTAAACTGAGTGAGTGGAAAATTCTCTCTCTAGTTTTTTAGTCTGTTGCTTTTGCTATATCCACAACATCACTGTTTTTCTCCAGTATTATGACATAGGAAATCAAAAACCGGAATGTTAATAAAAACCATGTTTTCTGTTAGCCCGTAAATTATATTTTGAGCTTTCCTTTTGTTACAGTTATCTGCAGTTGCCTTTTAAAATCGCTCACGATTATTTCCCGCCTTAGAGTTTATTAGACAGTACAGTAATTCCCTGACGCACGAACATTTGAGTTGCAGACTGTCACAGGGTACTGTGTAAAACTCCCTTGGTCAGATTACAGGTGGATCTGTCCTAGCAGCATTCTCATGAAACAGAACTCGTTTGTAAGTTGGGGGTTACTGTGTTATCATTGAGAAATAATAGACTCACATTGACCACCGTGTGCTAATTATTGGATCCCACTTTTACTTGACATGAATTACTGTTTTAGGAAAACTTAGAACTGTAATAAAGGTGCAGTATCTAATTTTTATGTGATATAAGTAAAATTCAAGTTCCTGCTAAGGATGATAGTAAAATGCCGCTGTGCCTGTTGCTCGGCTGCAGGTGCTGTTGTTTTGATGGTGCTTCAGTTTCCATCCCACAGCCCCAAGTAGGCTTGGACACTGAACACCAAGGACGTGCTTTATACTGTGTGTGTGCGTGGTGTGTTTTGGTGTCTCTGTCTTTTCCTGTAGGTACATGAGATTCTTTCCCGATGGCTGCGTGATGATGCTGACGACCCCGGAGGAGCCCCAGTCCATTGTTCCCCGCTTAAGAACCAGGAATACCAGGTAGTGCTTCTGTAGCGCCCTGTCAGGTCCATGCTGCCCCAGGTAGACCTGCCCTGCATGGTTATAAAAGCAGCCGAGCTTCCTAGCCATAGCCACCGGCTCGCTTAAGCACAAGTGGCAACGGCTTAGCACCTTTGGACTTACGATGCTTTCTTTTTAGAACTGAAGCAATTCTGCTGGGTCATTATCGCTTGTCACAAGATACAGACAATCAGACCAAAGTATTTGCTGTGATAACTAAGAAGAAAGAAGAAGTGAGTATATAAGGGGGCTGGACAGTTTCCTTGTTTCAGCAGTGTACCCATTCCGGCATTCCCAGGTGGATGAAATTGTATTTCATGGGGCCAGGGGTTTAACTCAGTTGCCTAAGTGCCTGCGTGGCAAACGCAACGTCGTGAGTTCAATCCCCGGCACCCCACCACCACCACCAAAAATTGTGTTTCATTATTACACTTATCTCTGAAGAAGGCTGGGATTTTTAAGATGTTCTTCTTTTATTGGATCAGGTGGTTTCTCCAGATGGTTTCCTTCCTAAAGTATAGATCATTTCATTTTTAGACAGATTTCAATTTCTAGTTGAAAGAAACTTCCTTTCTTCCTGTTCTTCCAGAGAACATGGGGAGGGGCCTGGGACCATGATCACTGGTGTTTATTATGTTCTAGAGTGCTTTAAATTCCCTGAGCAGAGGTCGGGCATGGTGACACACATCTGTAACCCTAGTTCTCAGGAGGCTGAGGCAGGAAGATTGCCGAAAGTTTGAGGCTACATACAGACTGGGCCATATAGTCATATTCAAGGCCTGGCCGAGCTACATAGCAAGACCCTGTCTCAAAAACATTCATTCATTCATTCATTCCCTGACTAAGTTGAAGGTCTAGTTTTACACAAATTTTTCCATATACATTTCTAAAATCCTGATTAAAAAACATATATACCTGGAAAATTAGTGGGGAAGAGTAAGTGTTAGCCTCTTGCCTTTTTCTGAGTGATAGCTTTTGAAAGAAATTTCCACCTGGAATCCCGCTGTGCTCTCTAGCAGTGTGAGGGCAGGGCTTCCTCTTCCCCTGTCACCTGTGAGGGCCTCCACTGGCCTACACCTCTGTGCTGGGCTCCTGATCTGTGGACAAAGAGCGGTGTTGACTGTGAGCAGCTTTTTCTCAGGCCAAACTTGCAACTGTGAGGCCCTGCCTGCTTTTGTCTGATAAAAGTACTTATGAATGCCCATGTGGACTCTGGGTTTCTTTTTTGTAACAAAAGCATTCATGTTGTTTGCATTTCGTGATTTTTAGCAGCAGTACTTGCAAAAAATAAGTTACACTCTTTTTCTTCAGTCTTTGTCAGTTTATCACTTTCTCCCTCAAAAATTCCTAAATGTTTACTGGTTAAAAAAAATCAGAAATTTCACTACCCATCTCTGAAGCTGCTGTGTGGCTTTGGTTGACCTGTTTGACTCCCTAGATCTTCGATTCCGAGGCTGTTGTGTAAATGCGCAGTCATCTCACACATGGAGTTACGTGGTGATAGAAGGAGATCTGGCCTTTGCAGAGTACTTAAGGGTTAGGGCGCTCACTCTTACGTGACATCCAGCATGACTCTTCCTTGTATACAAACACTATGTGACTTTAGTGTCACCATCACACTTAAGTTTCCTAGGAATATTTAACGTAAGTTTCCTAATGGCCCTTGTGAACCTTTCGTTTTGCAGAAACCACTGGATTATAAATACCGGTATTTTCGTCGTGTCCCCGTACAAGAAGCAGAACACAGTTTTCATGTGGGACTACAGCTGTGTTCCAGTGGCCACCAGAGATTCAACAAACTCATTTGGATCCATCATTCTTGTCACATTACTTACAAGTAGGTGAACGCAATAAAATCAGCAGGGTTAGTGGGGCTGTGCACACCTCACCCCTAGCTTGAGGACCTCTGTTTGCTTTGAATTCTCAGAGTTAGCACGGTATAGCAGCGTGTGTCTTGCTGATCACTGTGAGCTGATCACTGTGAGGTGCTAGGACTTCCCAGTCTGCTCATTGTTTAGGGAGAGGAGTGATAAAGGCTGAGGCAGCATTTCATCTCATGCTTCCCCTCAACATTCTCTGGGCCTTGGCTTAGCAGTCCTCGTAGGAGGACACTTGGGGAACATAATGAAAAATATCAGGTTATTTTAATAGCTAAGTAGTGTAAGTCTCCAGCAGGGACATATAGTAGGTGAGTGACATAAGAAACTGTAACAGTCTGCAGTCACAAATCGGTTCTGGACAGGAACTGCTCATGTCAGAACATTCGGTGAAAAGCAGCCGGGTTTCCGGTCATATCCGACCCCGGCGCAGAGAGGTTGAGGAGATGGAACAAACCCAATTCCGTGTGGCTGCGTGAGTGGCAGCATTATGAGTGACTTTTACACACTGTTATGAACGTTTCAAGTGTTCTACAATGTGCTGAATTTACTAAGATGAATTCAAAGTAAAAGGCTAATGCATAAAATAAACTGCCTTCCACACATGCATGAGTATTGGGAAAGGAACTGAAATTCTCTGGGGTTGGTGCTTTTTTCCAGATCAACTGGTGAGACAGCGGTCACTGCTTTTGAGATTGACAAGATGTACACCCCCTTGTTCTTCGCCAGAGTGAGGAGCTACACCGCATTCTCAGAGAGGCCTCTGTAGCCTCAAGCCCAGCCCCCGTTGCATGAATAAAAGCGCGTAGCGCAAAGAGCACCTAAGTTATAAATACATATATATATCTATATATATATATGGGATTGGGATTTATTTTAAATGGTTGGAATTCTTTTAAAAAGAGTATAAATTATTTTTTTTATTTAAAGAGATAGATGGTTCTTGGGGATGTTTTGTTTTGAAACTATAAGTTGTTTAAGTAGATTTATGTTGTAAAAAACTTTTTAACGAGGTAGAAGGCCAAGTGTGGTGGCACACACCTGTTATCCTAGCACTCAGGAGGCTGAGGCAGGAGGATCGCCATGAGTTCAAGGCCAGCCTGGGCTACATTGTGAGTTCAAGACCAGCCTGGACTACTTAGCGAGACCCTGTCTTCCCCCCACCCCATACACCCATAAAATGAGGTGTAAACTCATACTCTTTTTTCAAGCAGATTTATGAGCAGATTTCTGTCATTTAAGTCATCTTCTGCCTGACCATCATAATACTTAAGCGCATCAGGGGAGAATTTCACTGGATAAATACTTTATTTTGCGCATGGCATAGTGTGTTTGCACTAAAGGCTCAAAATGTGAAAACCTGTTCTGAATTTGTTTGAAACCTTGTAACTAATAAAGATCATAAATAAATGATTCTTTCAAGGAAACTTGGGTTGCCTTTTGAGAAGATGAGATGTTTAGTTAGCACAGCTAGGGAGGCCAGCGAAGGCTTGCAGGTCCCGGCCCCACGCAGCAGGCCCTTCGCTGTGCCCAGGCTGTACCAGGTGCCAGCCGTCCAGATGTGAAAGCGGGAGGGTGGCCACCTCAGAGCTGGACAGTTCCACCGTCTCATCACTGCTCCTCTCGTGAGAGTGCTGGAGGGTTTCCGTCCTGGAAAGAAGCTTGGGAGCAAGCCAGCCCACCAAGTCCTGTATTACCATGTACTTGGGGGCGCACCCCTTCCCTGTAGTAGTCTGTTAAGGTTTAACTTCCAAGTCTGTCTCTAGTTCACCTCCACTGTCTGAAATATAAGGAGTCGTGGGCCAAGGATTTAGCTCAGTGGTATAAGTGCCTGCCTCGTAAGCGCAAGATCATGAGTTTGGTCCCCCATACCAAAAAAAAAGAGGAAAAAGAATGAGTCGGATACTCAGATACTTTCCAAAGTCAGCCACTGTGCTTCACGTCCACACTGACAGTAAAAAAAGACACTTCATAAATTCTTGCTGTTCAGCGCAAGACAGGCATTTGAAAAGCTAACTCACTGAGACTAGACTATAGCTCAGTGTTAGAGACTATGGTGGCTTCAGTCCCCAGCATCAGAGATGAAAACCAAAAAGATCTCCTCTGTTAACGATGAGAGCCGTATGTCCAGTGTGTACAGAAGGGAAAGAACTGAGCCAGGAAAGAACACACAGTGCCAGCACGCGGGCACCCGAGACGGGAGGGCCCCACAGTCTGCGGCAGCCTGCCCGTATGTGGAGACTGTCCCAAGGAGACCTTTAAGTACCACATGAACTTTTTGCAGAAATATGAAAAATAAGCTGTTGGTCTACAAAGGCAGCTCTTCATGGTGTGTCTTTGGTAGATTGTAGAATGGTACTGTGAACATAGTCAAACAACTATAGAAATGTATTCCAAGGGCAAACAGAGCTAAAGGAATGTGTTTCACTGTTCATCCTTGGATTAGAAAATCTGTTGAGAGACCAAGAGTGGATACCAAGCTCAAATTTAGCAATTCCTTGGCGAGCAGGAAAGCAGTTTTGTAGCATAGAGCTTTTAATTTTTTTACAGATTCGATTTTCTGTGTATTTAAAATGCTGTTACTTTGTTTCGCTTTGCATTATAGTACCAGGAGTTAAACCCAGATGAGCCACACACCACTTTGTGTTTTGGAGACAGAGTTTTACTAGATTAAGTTGCCCAGGCTGGATTTGAACGTTGAGTCTTTCTGCTTCAGCCTCCAGTGCTGTGATTACAGGTGTGTACCACCATACCCAGCTTAAAATAATTGCTTTTTAAAAATACAAGAAATATGCAAGTATTGTAGCAAAATTAGATATTTAGTAAAATACACACACACACATACACACAACCAGAATTTGAGCTGTGAAACCTGTTGTCTACATATCTTGCCATAGGTTTGTAATCTCAGGACTGCCCTTCCTTTGCTCTATTTATTTTATTTTTTAAATTTATTTTAAAGAGAAAAACATAATGAAAGCGGCAGTGGGGCAGTTACAATACTTGATACCTTGCGTTTTGGTGCCGTGTGGTTATTCAGAGTTCAGGACGCCAGCACGCTATCTTGTCTAAACAACATTGGCACGAAACAGTTTTCAAGGAACAAACAAGCCAGCTGTGTCGCTGCCTTAGCGCGTATATGCTTTTTTCCTTTTACCCATTCTTCCTTTCCCCACCAGTTTGTCTTTTCTTTGGAACAGTTTCTTCCCAATTCACGATATCTGTTGTACGTTTTTTTAAAGAAAAAAAAAAAGATGCAAACCTAAAAAACAACGAAAGCAAAACAAAAACAATAGCTACTAGGTTTTCAAAACAAGATGATAGAACTTTAACAGTGATTGCTATACTGCATATTGTTATCTTCAGAATAGTTGCTCAGGTTATCAGCCAGGAATAAAACAAAACAGTAAAATGGAATAAAACATTGGATTTCAAAAGTAAGAAGGAGGAAATCCCCCACAGGTGCCGCAGTGCACACTGCCATCCTCCAAATAAATGCCCAGGCCTGCAGAGTCAGTCAACACAAGCATCAAGCTGTTCCCTCACCTAGGTTGCTATCCTCTCACCCTGGGTCCGCCCAGTCCTCCAAATCAGCCAGCTGGGGGGTGGTGGGGCGCTCCGGGGTCCCAGCCCACACGCCAGCTGGCTCACTGGAGGCTGTGCTTCGTCTTGTGCTGAGTTTCCTCCCAATCCCCACGTCACAGAGAAGCCCTGGGAAGGTCCAGTGGTGCCGGTACCACGGAGCCACAGATGCTGTCTCCGCAGCTGCCTTTCACATCCCAGTTGAGGCACATGCTGGGAGACATCCTTGCCTCCGGGTGAACATGTGTGCCGCTGCCCCCTGGCCTGCATCCTCCCCCTTCCCTGCCCTTCCTGCACCCACCACAGTGAGGGCACGGTGGACCTGTGGCCTGTGGGAGCAGGGTGTGCAGACTGAGACACATCTAGGGTGGGCAGCAGCCTGGACCCTCATCCTTGGCGCTGGAGGAGCTACGCTTAATGGTAGGGTGTTTTCCTGCTGGGTTTTTTCTGTGCATGTATTAAGAATGGCCTTGTGGAGCTCGGGTGTGGCTCATTGTGGTAGAGGGCAGGCTGCGTGTACCCCAGGTCCTGGGTCCAGTCCACAGCACACATGTAGATGCTGAACACAAGGCTTTGTAAGCCTTCCCTGCTTTAGTGCCATGTACATCATTCTGTTCACAGCTTTGATGGCTTCACAATCCAACCATCTCTTCAGATACTGTGGTTTTCTAATTCAATGCTAATACATGCGTTTCTCACACAGGGAAGCACCTCCAGTTCTGGTGCTTTCCTGTTCTGGGTCTCCAGAGCTGACCCGTCATCTCCCTGCTGACAGTGCTGAGCGTAAGCAAGAGCCCCACATAACAGCTGTGACATGTGGGTTAAGGCTACGCGGTCTAACTGGACCCAGCAGGAACAAGTGATGGGCCAGCATGGTAGGGTCCGCTCAGCGCTGTCCATTGGTCCTGCTGGCCGGACAGCCACCTGTACCTGAAATGGGATTCCAGCCTTCGTCGTGTATGTGAACAGAACTGCCGTCTTTGTCTGCTCCTCTAAAATCCCACTAAGACAGCAACAGGCAGTGGGAAGGCTTACGCCCCCAAGACAAGACAGGAGGGGCACTAAAGGGACAGGCGACTGTTTGAGAAGTAGAAACCAGAAAGGCCGAACTGAAACACTGGTCCATGCCGTGCTTCTGAGCACGTTTAAACTCTCGGTGTCAACACTACGTTAGAGGAAGTAATGGTAACCATCCCCCAGAGTAGCAGAACCACAGGTTACCCTTCCATTGCTTCGAACAACATCTGGTAAAGTAGCTGCTGCTTCATGTGTTGTTACTGTTCCAAAAGGCCTTGGGGACCTCAGCCAGACGCCTGGGGAGCTAAAAAGGGCGCACAGACCTCTAACTGCAGATAGGCACCAGGGGGAGCAGCGAGACCCCAAAGGAAGGGTTCCCTGCAGCTGGCAGGGCTCACAGTGCCAAGTTGGTATCTCCTGGGCAGGACAGAGAGCTTCCTCTCCAGGAAGAGGCCCTCCACCGTGCCTCCAAACACACCTACAGATACTGACACTTGGGTGTCACAGATCAGGTACACCCACTCCTGTCCACACGGACCACATCGGCATCTCAGTGACCGCTTCCCAGGTACAGTGGACAGTGAGGAATGCTGTGCACTGGAGAGAAGGTTTCTAAATATGCAATACAGAAAGAAAAACCTAGTAAATAAATACAGAAATGGGACATGGAAAAATTTTTTAAATGCGGGTAGCCTAAAATTTAAATACAAAAATAAATCTTCAGGGAGGGAAAAGAAACACACCCATGAAATGAGCCCATGAAAAGAAATCAAATGCGGGCTGGGGATTTAGCTCAGCAGCATAAGCACCTGCCTTGCAAGCAGGTGGTCATGAGTTCAATCCCCGGCACCGATAAAAAAAAAAAAAAATCAAGTGCTGGAAGACTGTTATTACAAACAAGACAGTTAAATTTGTTTTGAATTTTAAATTTCAGGTGAAATAAGATGCTAAAGCTGGAAGTTGACTTCGAAGTCCTTTACGAATATTCCTACTTGTTTATTGACTGCAGATGTGGGACTGATTCTTTTTTCAGTACAGTTTAGTTGTGGGGTAATTCAGTCATTAAAGAGAACCTATATTGTCACTTATCCCCACGTGGAGGAGGAGTTATTTGCCTAGTTTGGGGCCTAAGGGCTTTAATAAGGTTCTGGAAAGAATTCATGCAAAGGACTTGATAGTACCAATCCCCATCTTTACGAGATGGGGGGGGGATGAGAAAAGAAATTAGGATGTGTTATGCACATGGACCAGCTCCCCATATGGAATGTAAGCATTATGCACTACAAACGTGCTAATAACAAGTGGGGAAAATGTTTAAACATGAATTTAAAATTTGAGGCCCATTAAGAACTTGCATGCTGGGACTTTCAGGAGAATGGCAGAGTGATAAGCAGCAAAGAGTGTCTCCAGGATTTGGTGTCCAGACACTGGACTATAGCAATATAAGGAAGAGAAAAAAGAGAGAAATGGGTCCCCAAGGACCCAGAAAGAATCTGAAATGAAACTTAAAGCCAAGGAGAAGGTAATTCTGGAATCCAGTAGCAATAAGAAAGCCAGCCTGTCACCATGGGCCCAGGAAGAAGAGGACACGCAGGTCCAAGGAGCCAGCCACCAGGCCCAGGGTGAGCCCCACCTAAGCAAGTCTGGGAGGCTTCGGCATTAAAGAATTGGAAGCCACACACCTGAGATTTCTGAAATGATAGTAACTAAAACAAAGAGACAACCTAGTACTTAAATTGTTCTGTTAATGTTGCATGCCTGTGTCTCACCCAGAACAAGTCCAGAAGACACAGACTCAGAAGAAATTAGAAGCCACACACCCAAGTTT